ACACAACAGGGGTCAGAGACAAGCTGACAACCCCCTAATCCTAACCGTTGCTCTAATCCCATCAGATAAGGTAAATGTTACAGTTCAAAGCCTTAAACTCAAATTGACCTATTGCTCACTTCACATAACTTCCTTTTCCTACTATTTTATAATGCAATAGGGTTTTTGGTTCTTTCCATTTTGTCTAACCATCCTACTCCCTTTGACTATTTCTTAAAATCAAGTGAAAGGGGAAAACCATCACTATAAAACAGCTTAAGTTATTTGTACAGTGGCAGAAAGGAATTTTATAGCAAAGTAAAGGTTTGTAAGTATGATTTAAATCTTTGTTGAGTATTTCTTTACTGCTGTATGTGTAATGTTGTGTACTTCTTTAAGCCTTCCACTAGTATACGAATGTCTTCCCTTGGCAGATACTAATAAAATGTAAAGTTAAATTGTGGGTGTTCCTACAAGTAGCCCAAGAACAACTCAGGTGATGACCCAACCGAATGAAAGTGGTCAAGTGGCCTTAGCCTCCTGTGAGTTCACACCGCAGGTCAGGGGAGAGGGTGCTATTTTACATATATCAGGCATTCTGAGAATAACACCTGAAAAGCTGTATCACTAACCAATTCATTCACACTAGGGCTTCAGAAACAATCAAGTTTATAATATCCTCATATTAGAGAAGAGGGTACACAGACTCACAACTTTTATTCCTTTTGTATCTAAGAAAGGGGCACAAGTCTAATGTACACAGCAGATCTTAGGCATAGACATGGGAAATAAGTTAGCTTCAAAACCTTTTAGTTGTAGGAAGAGATATGTAACATATAAACAAAAGGATCTGTAGAGATAAAAGAGGATTTAGAAACCAGGCCCAGTGGCTCACACCATAATCCCAGCACTTTGGGAGGTGGAGGTGAGAGGATTGCCTGCCATCCAAGAGTTCTAGACCAGCCTGGGCAACTTGGCAAGACCTCATCTCTACAGTAAATTTAAAAATTAGCGGGGCATGGTAGTGCACACCTGTGGTTCCAGCTACCTGGAAGACTGAGGTGGAAGGATCACCTGAGTCTAGCTGGTGAAGGCTGCGGTAGCCGTGAGCGTGCCACTGTATGCCACATGGGTGACAGAATGTGATTTCTACTCACACACAAAAAAAGAGGATTTAGAGATCATATATATGTTATTGTGTACTAGGTAATGCCACCTAAATGTCTGAACGGGAACTCAAATTCAATAAATCTCTATTAACTATCTCTTCTCCGACTCAAACTTGCATTTTTTTCTCAAAGAAAAAAAACACAATCAACCATGATCAAGCAAATCAGTCATCTTGACCCTCACCTGACCCTTCACCAGCAACAACCACCTCACTCATGAATCAAATCTGCCCACTCTCTTTTCCAGGCCCACCCTATCTCAAGTCCCAGCCACTGTCCAGTTCAAGCCCTTGAGGTCTCCCTGGGATCACTACAACCAATTTCTAAGTGGTCTTCCGATATCCAGCTCCCTCTCTCCTCCTCCAACCCCTGTCCCACGGCTCTGCCTCTGCAGCCTCCAGAAATGCAGCCATCACACTGGCCCCTTTTTTTTGAGTTGGAGTCTCACTCTGTCGCCCAGACTGGAGTGTAGTGGCCGCTCCCAGCCACCGCAGCCTCGACCTGCTGGGCTCCAGCGATCCTTCCGCCTCAGCCTTCCAAGTAGCTGGAACTACAGGCGCGCGCTACCAGGCCCGGCTAATAATTTTTTGATTTATTGTAGAGATGAGGTCTCGCCAAGTTGCCCAGGCAGGTCTGGATACAAACCTGACCCTGGCATACTTCACATTGCACCTCTCGAACAACCCTTCAGTACCTATGAGATGGTTCATATTATTTAGCTCTGGCTCCTTTCTACCCATCTGGGATCCCTTTCCAAGACAGAATTCAATTTCCCCACTTTCCTGCAAGCTTTGTTTCAGTAATATCATACTACAGTTAAATACAAATGGATCCTGGTCATGTCAAACTCTGTTGCTACCCAAGCATTCACATCTGCTGTTTTTGCCTCTACATATAAAGCCTTCCCTCCATGCCATACAACTAATGCCAGTTACATAACCTCAATTTCTCTTCTGTGAAACAGTAATACTTATTTCCAAAACTGCATTATGAAGACTAAACAGTGCACACAAAGGGCTTGGTAATGCACCTATTTTATCAATAAATCTTAGGTCCACTTCCCCTTGTATTTTCTATCTATCTAACAATACCTGGCAACTAATGGGAATGCAAAAGCTTCATACATTCATGAATGCACACACTCGGAAAATAAAGAGAGCAGTTAAGAACTGGTGTCCAAAGAAATGAAGCTAACATGGATATACATGCCTTTCAATTAGTCAATTGCTTTTACATTTATATATTATGTAAACCACTAAACTGAAAGACTAAAAAGTCTAAAAAGTACTTACATCAAAGGAGCACTCATTTAAAAAAAGGAAAACTGATAAAACTGTGAAATTTTAGAATTGTATAAAGAATTGTATATGAATGAAATGTATTTCATAAATAAATTTATGGCATAAAAACATTGTTATGTTTCCACCAAAGTCATTTAAAGAAGAAAACCAGATGCCCACCAACTAAGCTTGATCACCTCCATAGGTCTTCCAAGGGGCAATGGATACCAGATAAGAGAATCAGTGTTTGCTGAATGCCAATGAATCGCTCCACGGTTTACAAAGCAGCCAAGTGGTTTTGGATCTGGTTCTTTTTTGGCATCCAAAGTGAAGACAAGAGTCAAAGGGATCAGTAACTGAGAGAGACTAACCCTGAGCAGCATGGGCCATGGATAAATGGGCAACCCTTACCTAAGACCCCAAGAGTGAATCATTAGCTGCAGAGAGATCTGACTTTAAAAGCAAACAGCATGAAAAGATGCAATCAATATCCAGGCAGCTCCTTTGGAATGAGGCTCATCTCAAATTCACTTTCCATTAATCCTGCTTATTCTGCACAGAGCCTTCGTAAATTATAGTACAATAATTTCAAACTAAACCCAAAAATTTCTGATCAAAACTTGTACATTTAAATATATATGAATAACAATAACGCTGATGCTCATGGGTTTCTAGTGAACAATTATGTAGCCTAGTCTTGTCAACATGATATTCCTACAGCCCCAAATATATTAGCTCTTTATAAATATTACATACAAAACTAAGTTCAGACTGCCCAAAAGCTAATTTTTAAAGTCTGATTATCTTTAAATGAGAGATATAAAGCCTTATATTGAATTAAAGTGTATCAAACATATCATTCATCTATGAAATACGGCCAAATTTTGATTTTTCCAAAATCAAGAACACAAGCCCATGTACTTAGGGTCTCACTAATGTTGCCCAGGCTGGTCTTGAACTCCTGGGCTCAAGAGATGCTTCCAAGTAGCTAGGACTACAGGTGTGCACCACTGTACCAAGCTTTAGTAAGAAATATTTTAACAACAGGCTTCACTTCCATAGTTTCCAAGAACAGCTGATAAACTAGAACAAAGTTTAATACGCTATCTTTTTGAAACATTACTTGTAACTTTTATGACAACTAAATACTGTGGTTTTGATAGAAAACAGTCCTGGTGTTATAGTGTCATAGAAATCAGGTGCATAATTTTATAACACAAGCCCCCATCATCCTAGGTTTTGTATACACAATGGTCTTTATGTTATCATTCTTTGAAATTTTTTAAATTACTGTCCAAAATTGGAAAATTTGTTCATTTACACTGGGTTGGGTGAAGAGTCTACATAATGAAAAGGAATTGATAGAAAAATCTCAGATATCACTGGGAAACTTACAGGAGAGACTCAAGAAACAGTCAAATGAGCAAAGACAAAGGGAATTATTCTTTGATGCTAGCTAAATCTTCAAGTACATCATCACACCAGCATATCGAGATAGGAAAAATACTCCCCAGGAAAGGAAAGTTAATTCCTCATAAAAGTATCCTTTCTATGGAAAAGAATCTAAACCAAACTTTCCCCTTGAAGTAATTTGAGAACAGGTTTACTGTAACGTTTAAGTGCAAAAGGGGAAGTAAGAATGGGAACACTGTATTAACTTAATAGTTACCAACTCATCTTAATCTTCCCATTTTCACTTGGCAAGGACCATGAAAACTTACTCAATTTGGTAAGTCAATCTGATAAAAAGTGATCTACAAATGAGAGAGAGCATTGTTTTGGCAAGTAGAACACTTATTTAAAAAAATTATCTGGACTCTGACAAGCCAGTTAGGTTGACAGGACCTGTGATTAGTTTTGGAGTGGAGTTCTTAAGCACTGATATCTTACTCACAAAAGATTGTGTAACAAGGTCAATTTTTAAAGACTGTTTTACATATATATAAATATAAATATGTTCTCTTTCCCACATTTTTGACAAATAATAACAGTAAAGAAAGCCCATACTAGATAATCAACTTCTGAAACAGCCCCAAGGCAAATCAACTCAGAACTCGTTCCACGAGCTCATTGCTTAAGAAAAAGAGCTCCTGTTTCGTCTTTTGCATGAAAAAACAATCAGTGCCTACGAGGAACAGTCCCTTTAAGTACAATTGAGCTGAGCAACTGGAAAAAGCCAATGCTCCACTATAGTGTTAAAATACAGAAACTGCGGGAAAAAATAAAGGAAGCCGAAGGGGAAAATGCGTTGGCCTCACATGACCACGATGAGCTGTCCTTGCTCTGGTTCTAATTTCAGCGACTCTGGATCTGGGAGGCCCACTTGACACACTCAGACTGGGACGCGCACGGCTCCGGCCACGTCACCGGCTGCGCGCGCCAGCCCAGCCTCGCCCAGTGGAAAGGAGAGGGACACAGAACGGGGGCGGGAGACAAACGGGGAACAGGAAAAGTGGAAGAGATGTCCCGAGGGCAGATTCCGTTTATTCCTAAACTTTCTGGCTTTCAGAGAAATTCCAGAGCTCCAAAGCTGTGGGTAAATCCGAGCGCGGCTCCGGGCGCACGGCCTCACCTGGGCCATGGCGACTCGTCAGATCAGGGGACGGCGACGCAGGACTGCAAGAGAGGGAGACCGCGGGTTAGCCAGTCACCCGCCGCCCCTGCCCTCCCCAGAGCGCAGGTCTGCGGGGAAGCCGCGGCGCTCGGAGCCCCGGGAGCCCGGACGACCCGCCCTCCCCGCAACTCTGGGGACAACTCTGGGCCAAGCGTCCGAGCGCACCAGCGCCCGGCGACCCCCTCTCCCCTCCAGAGGGAACCCCCTCCCCGAGCCAGACGCGTACTCACCTAGACAGGGAGACCCAAGTGCCCGAACCTCCCGGAGAGCGGGGCGAGGTAAGGATGGAGGAGAATCTGGGCGACTGCACCCAGACGGCTCCAAGCAACGGAAACGCCAGC